GATTTCCTCGAAAAATATCATTTTACTGCTCTGATAACTTTTTTGTGGGATATTACACGCTGGATGTTTCTTCCGGAACGCGAATGTTTTGGTTGTTGAGGAATGGCTTTATCGTAAAAAATTACTTGACCAGAGAAAACGACGAAGGGTTGCGTGTTACCACTTTCGACTTTCTGCATTTTTGGCCAGGCAGCGTCTGTTGAAATTGGAATTGAAGCGAAATTTCTGCATACGATAGGAACGGCAGTGAAGCTCCTGCATGACGTTCTTCCATCGCGATAACTCGGATAAGCCGTGCCCGTTGGCTTCCTTTTGATGGGTCACCCAGGATCCCGACCGATTGGCAAACGGACCATTCTAATAGTCCTATCTTCAGAAACATTCTACCTTTCTATCTTTCCTGGTTTGTCTCTGATTCAATCTTCTTTTCCATATCGTGTAATAGCCTCCTATACGATTATTAGAAAAATCCCAAAGAATTTCATAACGCCCTTCCACTTCTCGCGCGTCAATGATTGCAAGTGGCATTGAATGAGCCTCCTCCATCTGAAAGATAATGGGAGTTCCACATCAGCAACCATGCGTATTGCGAGGAAACCTTCTTATGCAACTAGTTAATAACAGGTAATGTGAATTTGATAGACTATTTCTAGATTAAAAAATACTGAAGTTGGCGCAAATAATTTTGGGACACCCTGTACAAGAATGCTTTTTCATCGTACTGGAATAAACTCCGTCACTTGCTTTAGTTATACCGACCTACCCTCCTCTGTATCCGACTGGTTAAGTAATAACATGGAAGGATTGAGTAATAGCATGAGTGATTGTTGAGTGGCCTAAGAAAGTTTCCCATACCTTTCTTGTAGTGCTAGGGCAAAGTTGGACTCGGCGCTTATGTATGTGCTGGTGATGATCTGCCCATCCTTTTTATCAAACTTTTTTTTATGGTCGGGTTAATAATAACTTACTGTGACCCGTTACCATGCTTTGTAGGTGACTGAATGCGTATAACGTATGTGTAGTAACTAACAAGGAATGCTGGACCATCTCACAGTTATAAACCCTTTTTTTAGTTATCAAGTAGGAACTTTTCAAAAATAAAGCAAATTCTCAATATATTTTCTGTTTTTTTTTACATGCGCCATAACCTGGCTGACTGATTTCTGTGGAGGGTTAGACTATAACGAGGGCCGCTGCCAGCCTCATGGTCAGAATTCTTCACTGAAGCTCTGAACGAAAGGAATGGTATGCCTTGAGCTCCTCCCCAACTAGGAGGGTTCAGTGGACTGCCCTGGCTTGTGAAAGGGCCGAATAGAGACATCACCGGTAGCTCTCAAGAAATTCGTTGATTAACAGAACGACAGATGTGATACAGGTGATACGACCACCCCGTTCCCTCAAAATTCACTGTCCACAAGCAGGAGGAGTGTAGTGCCCTCGCACGACCTCCACGGTTTACAGCATGCGTCGGGAGGAAACCGCGCTCCAGATTCACTCGCAGTCGGTCCTTAAGCGAAGGGCAGAAATTGCTGGAAGCGCGGGAACTTAGGCATATCATTTCGCTGCGTATTGACGCCAGTCAGTCGTCTGTATGCATTCGTCGTGCGAAGCTGGCGGATCGTCGCGTGCTCCCTTCCTTTCGTCCCGGGGGCTCTCCCCGTAACCGTCGATCATCGTCTCTCCGCTCATCTCCTCTTCTCATCAGCTCTCGTCTCATATCCAGGTTAGTAATCGCCTAGTTGTTTCACTCATGTATGTTTTCGTGTAAGGCTATTGTATCATGATATTTCACTTATCATTTTCACATCATTTGAAGTTCCTCATGTTGTACCCATGTATGATATAAATGTGGCGTCTTATGATTTTTATGTAGTTGAACGGGATTAACCCCTAGAGTATTTGAGACACTCGTAGTTGGGGTGTGTGGCACCCAAATACCCATGTTCTGCCGTGACTGAGGTGTGGGAAAGCCGATGCGGATGACAGAAGGCACCTCGTCACGACAAGGAGCATTTCTCATTTCCCTCATTCAGAGCGTCAATCCTAGTTTTAGATCGACTCGATCTATAATTTTCTGAAGAGAAAGTCTAGGAGCTTCAGAAAGCAGTCTCGATTAATGTGTCCCTCCGCACTTATGATCGCTCTTTCATTATCATTTTGTTTAACCCTCAAGATAGTCACTAAGATAACATCATTGGCTCCATTTAACTTTGAAAATAACAGAATTCGTGCTACCAAACCCTAGCTATGCCTTTCTGTTTGCTGTTTCTCACCTTATGACAAAAACCATGGCCTCCCCAATTGGCTGCTTTCATAGTCCGCCGGCCGGCGGACTATGAAAGCAGCCATTGACTACTACTTTGCTGATCGAGAGATCCACATAGATGAACAATCGTAGAGGGAAAGGCGAGAAGGCCGAACCTCTTTCATGTAGTACAGATGAAAAGTTGAAACCCGCAAATGTTCAACACGGTTGAGGTGAAGGCAAGTGAGACACAGCTTCCAAAATAAGGGAGGAGGAAAGGACGAAAAATCTGCATAGGTGAGCAATCGCAAAGATGATGTTGAGAATTTCTTATTTCTTCAACAGTACTTTCTTCAGTAGAAGATAGTAAACGAGACGATTATTTCCATATAGACACCGAGTCCAACATTCAGAAGTTATCGAGAGAAAAGAAGCCGCAAAAAAATCCGCATTAATTATGCATCAATCTATTACAAACTATTATTTCACTTTAAGAACACATGCTAAATTACACAGTTCGGCCTTATTGCCTGTAATAATTTAAAGGCACAGTTCACGATAAAAATGGTTTCTGAGGTTTTCCATAGTATGAATTCGAGGATCCCCCTTATACCATACCTGCCGTTATAAGGTCGAAAAAGTCGTGGATAAGACGCAATAAGGGGCCACAGATTGTATCATGTGAATGCCACGCCCATAGTGGACGAATTTCAACAACGTTGTAGACGGTGCACTACCGCAAGGGACTCCCATGAAGGAAGTTCAAACAAGATGTCATAACCTGTGGCGACAGCGGAAGGCAGATCCGGACAAGTTTTGCTCAATATAGTCAGCTCCTTGTCCTGCTGGAGCAAGTGAAATCTCGTCGAAACACTTCTTTCATGCCATTTTCGTCATGGTGATCTTTTTTTTTGTTGGATTAACGGATTTTCTCACTTTTTTCGCCGCCGATGTACCAAACTACATCGACACTTCCATTTTTCAACTTGAAAAAGGTACCTCAGAATTATCGTGGACCGTGAAACCAAAGGAGATACCATTTACGCTTTGTTATTTGCAGCTACAACTCTTTATCAGATTGTGTTACTCCCTGACAGTCTCACAGTCAACATCAGAGGAAAGAAATGAGTTCCCGTATAAGCTCTCTTATGGCAAATCAGGGCTTAACTTCATCGCACATTATGTATGAAGTTTATATTAATTCCGTTGTTTGCATTACATCAATAAGAACTTCATTTACAAATGCAAAATTTACCCAAGAAGGATAACTGATGATCTATATGTTGGCTATAATGTTGTGAGCACCGGCAAAGTGATGCCTTATGCGAAAGACAAGGCATGAGTAAACATTGTAAACTATGATTTGAAAGAATAATTTTGAGCTAACGGCGTTCGAACTGAATATGATAAGGACATGGTTTCCGCAAAGTTGTAAAGTCATTGATTGGCTCCATACTTGGCATATGTAGAGGATCTGCTGTGATTTTGTAGCGAAGTAGTATGTTGGCGATGATCTTAAAACGTTCCATTAAACTTTATCATATATTTCAGACAAAATGTACATATTATAATAGAAATGTTAGCTAAAGAAAGGATGAGGTACATTTCCAGTAAACCATGTCCGTAGTTTTCAGAATTTCCAACCTTGAACAAGAACACTACCCATTTTAGACGATGAGCATTTGAATCGGTTTTGTGTAACCGATACGAAGCCCGCGGCAGACATGGACTAGATTCCTCGTTTGCAGTTGTTCATACAGCTCGGTCGACATGCGATTTTTGCTTTTAGTATAATTCTACTGTCACCTCTTTTGTTCCTATATCTCTTAGTCGCTGCAATGCTTCCTCTTCATACTGCTACAATCCTTCGCGCGCGACGTTCTTCTGGCCGCAAAGCGACACTTTCGAATCAACTGCACCACATCTGCTCAGCTTCCTCAAGTACTTTGCCCTGCCACCACATCTTTATGAGGACGTATCATCGGATGTGATGCCGCTAACATCCAATCCAATCTTTTGAAATCACGGCTGTCTCAGCACAACTTGTAGCTGGGCATTACCTATGTACATACACGGCAAAGTTCGCAGTTGCAATTCATCAGGGACAAGGGGTTTGGGTAGGACTTGTGGTAAATATATTAGCAAGTGGGAAATTGCGCGGTGTCACAGTGCAGGAGTACGGTCTTCAGCTTTCGACCACAAAAATCAAAAACGTTCTATCGTACTTTTTGTGCTAGAGCACATTTGTATGCGTGTATGTGTGTATGTAGTGTGTGGTGTGTGTATGTGTATGTGTGCATATGCGTGTGTGTGCGCGGGTCGATGGGTGGGTGGGTAGGTGATCTCCGTCATTCCGCCTTCACTGGAAGTGGATTCTCATGATTTTGTGGCACCATGTATTGAAACTCACGAGATATAATTCCGCTTGAGCAAGAGATTCTCCCAGGCATGATCTTTTGCCCAAACCAAATGAGACCACCTTTTTTTCGAGCTTGTCACCATTCAGATAACGATCGGGATTGAACTGAAATTTGAAATGAACGATCTTGTGCTGTCTACAAGGAGGTTCCAATGTTCAAATGTTCAACAGGAAATCGAATTCTTCGAAGGCTATTATAGCAGGCTTTATATCGTTTACCTCCTGTTGATTTGTGAAGTCTTTCTCATCAGTCATAATGAGGGAAATTCGAGTTGTGATAGTAGTTCCTTTAGGGATCACATAAGACCCGACGACAGTGTCCTCTGATGTGCTTCTCCAGAGATTCATTGGAAGCAGTAGAGCGCATCTATGAATTTCCTGAATCTCATAAATTTTTTGGTTTTTTAAATCTTATAAAAAACTAAACCTACAGTCAATGTGGCGTTGTAGTATGGAGTGTTTGGTCTGTCGGCGATTGAGAGTGAACGTCGCCCTTTCGTAAGAGTAATGAGTTCTTCCTCCACTCGCGCTGTCACCTGTACATTACTGTGTGGATGAAGGCTCTTCGAATACGAAAATAGCATAGAAAATTAGCCCGTCTGTAATATGATCCCGTTGAATGACAAATTCTTCACCTGGGGATTGAGAAGCAAAAAGACGAAAGCCCAATTCAATGTTGTATTGGTGGTTTCTTGACCGGCAACCCACAGATCAAGCAGCGACATGGCTAGCATTTCAATCCTGAACAATAGAAAGTGTTGAAGAAAGGTAATTTCCCTAAAGTATATGATTATCCCTACTCGAAACTTGTTGATGCATTTCTTTCCTGATCTTTCTTCATCTGAATCAAAAAAGCGTCGACAAAATCTTCTCCTTCCCCTTCTAGAAGATGATTTCCGTTGGCTATGTCACATTTCCTGGAATGATAATGGTATAAATATGGATTCCACTGATGTGCCAACCAACTGCTCTAACTACAACGATAAGATTTGCAAAACAATAATGATCTCGCACTTGTAAACTAATAATCACTTCGTCAGGTCTAGTTGTGAGCCTATCTTCCCACAAGCGTCGTCGAATTGGGCCAGCATTTGCTCTGCCTACCCAATTTTAAGTGTTATGAGGATAATGTCGCATGCAAAACGTTGTTGATATGAGCAGCCGACGTCGATCTTCGTTCTCAGGTTTTCCCATTCCAAATGGCGCACGATGTTATCGAGAGCGGCACATAGAGTTCAGGGCGAGACGGTATCGCACGCCCAATTCCTCTGCCCACGTTGCAATGTCTTCGTGTAGAGTGGACTCCGTTCACTTAGCCGAACTATACCAGCGTGGGCAGAAGCCTTTAGTTTTGGAGGCGTCGCATCGCCTCCCGGATACTTCGAAGTCACTATTTTAAAATACAATTTTTGGCTGAGTCGATGGACAGGATACGAACCGTACCCGCAGACTCTCTAAACGCGTATGCATGGATACGCATGTAAAAGTTAT